CATTTCATGACTTTGATTCTTTGAAACACTTTTTTTTTTGTTAAAGTTCTTTGAAATATATTTAATAATGCTACACACCAAATCCAAATGATTGTTAGGACTTACAATACAAGTAATGATGCATTAATCTTAGGTGATACTAGTTTGCCAACAATGGGGCATGCTCTTTTTTGTTTAAGTTGGTTTCTTTAGGGAGCATAGCAGATTAGTTTCATCAATATGAAGAAGGTCTCATAAATTGGTTGTCGCTCGAAGTTAAGACGAAAATCGGCTTTTATTTAGTTTTCTAGTTAGATCTTAATTCTAATCAATCGATTAAATGAAGTGTTTGTTGTGAAAGACTTGTTATGAAGATGTTTTTTTGGAGAAAAAGTAACATTCATTCAAAGAAAAAAACAATATGATCGAAGTAATATTATCTACCTTTCTTTCAATTATGAAAAATAAAGTTCTACCTAAAAATATTATGTAAAATTACATATTCACAGACATATGTAATAATTAAAAAATCACGACGTTATATATTCTTTAAAAAAAAACATTTTATGATATTCAAACGCTAGATACAATATTTCATGAGATGTTAAAAAAAAACAATATTTCATGTAAATATTTAAAATTATTTATTCAATATAGCTAAAGCATTTTCAAGAAAACGATTCTTGATTTGGCCCTGAAAAAGAAGAACAAGAAATCTGTGTTTTACCTTTTTACACATAAGATTTTTCCGTTTAACTAGAAACCAATATTTTGTAAGAAAAAGAAAAAAAAGCTTTCTTTTGGTTAAGTTTGATCATATGGACGCTAATATACCTATCTTGCTAAACTAAATAAAAAATTAAAAAGAAAAGTACTTATGAAACTTACACTTTCTGAGAACGTTGCTCATCTTCTCCTCCGTCGCCAGCTTCTCTTTTCCTCCGGATCTTGCCGGAATCTTCACCGGGATGATGATCGGCCTCACTAGAAGAAGGAGAAGCAGAAACCCTAATTTCACTCTTACCGGTTGCACCGACAACATCAGGACTCTTGTGGCTACTATTATAATTAATAGCATCGTAAAAACCGTTTTCTTGATCGATCGAAGAACTAAAAAACTCGGAAGATGGAGAGAGCTCGAAACCCAAATCGTACGCTCCTTGAGGACTCAAGTGTAGATTAGAACCGTTTTGTGGTGAGATCATGTTTGCATTATAAGTAGATGGACCAGAAACGTAAGGGAGATGAGTAATATTTTGGTTGTTGTAATGGTTATATGATGAAGTATAGTGATAGTTGTTAAGATCTTTGGTTTCATTAGACATG